AAAATAATAAGATTATACATCACCCACTTAGATAAAGTGCGAGACTAGTACTAGAAGTAGAATTTTTCAAAATTATGATTTTAGAGTTAAAATCGGTAAAAATAAATTTGTACGTGTAAATTTGTATATCGATATTCACATAATAACAATAGCAGTCAGTCGATAGCAAAAAATACATAAGGCGGCCAGAGAGGAAGGGGGGGAATTTTATTTTGGTTGTTCAAAGAACTGAAAGAAGTACAAAATACTGACAAGGTTAGATTTTAAGATTAGAAAGTGGCAGTGTTGGTGAAACGGACCTATAAGACAAGTATAATTTGATTTTGTCCAAACACATATATTTTCAGAATAAGTATATAATACAAGTATGAATAATTTATAAAATTTAATTATAGTATTCACAAAAATTAATAAACTACAAACACAAAATTATTAATGTATCTGTATGATAAAAATGTAATTTCAAAACATGATCTATACAAAAACATAATTAGATATTAAACATATAATTTTGTTTAGTTGTTGTTATAAAACAAAATTATACATTTAATAATAACAATAGAAGACCAATTAAATTAGTATCTATTTATGTAACAAAAATATAATACATTAGAAATGCACTCTTATTACTCAAAATGTTGTCAGATGGAATTACAACAGCCATTTTTAGAATTTAATTTTCTTCTAAAGGAGGAATTTGATAGTTGATTACATTCATTGGAAAAAAAATGAATGAGTTTAAGTCTTTCTTTGCTCAATTAATCTGTTTTCTTCACACGTTTTTGCTTCGGACTTTGTGCCTTTTGTTTATCTATAATATAACAAAAAAATCATTTGAATTAATATTTATTTAGTAGAAATTTCTACAATATTCATAACCTCAATAACACTAACTTCCAAAATTCAACATTTTTTTAGATGATCAATTTTTAATTTTATCAATAAAAACCAAACTTACTTAGGTGATTGAGAACATTCTTAGGAACCCAGTCCATATCAATTTGTTTGCTAGTTTTTGTTCCAGTTTCCAAATTTGCTCTAGTGCGACTTGGCAGACCACCACCACCAACGCGTTTTTTGCCAACTGAGTATAGAAATTGTTGTCCTCCGACCAAAAGAAGAACACACGCAGCTGCCATTAAGACATACAAAAACAGAGTTTCACCATCCAAACCTTCTTCAACTTCAATGATGTTAACAGTATCGTTGTATAATTTACTAATCATTTGTTTTCCTTCCTAAATAAATAAAAGATTATGAATCATTAATTATAAAATAAATAGTAAAAATAAAAACCTTACATAGTCTCTATAAGCAAGATTGATGCTAAGTCCAAATGGACGTCCTGCAAATGCATCAGCTGGGATGAAGGCATAGCCAAGAGTAGCCTGGGATCCTGGTGGAATGGTTTTCTCTAACAAGACGGTGGTGAAATTTTGAATGTGGAAATTGAAATCCATGGGGTAGCGAAGTGAAGCATCCAAAGTTTCCAAAACTAAATCATTAGATCCTTTATTGGTAAATCCCACAAGAAATTCAGACAAGCGACCAGCTGGTAATTCTAATGAAAAAATAAAACACATTAGTAATGATACAATTAAAAATTAGGTACTAATAAATAAAAAGAAAATATACGATTTAATGTAGTATTATCAATCATATTTATGGTTAATTTTTTATGATTTTGTATTTTATATGACAATTATTTACAATGTGTCTTTACAGGTAACTACCTAAACAAAATTGCATACAATCATGTTTTTTTCATACTATTTACAAAATAATACTTAAAATGTTAAAATTGTTGTCTAATCGACATTTAATTGATACAACATTTACACTCAACTATATGTATTCAATAATGTTAAGTGTTATCAATAATAATCAATAGGTACCTATTGATATTACAACTCATAACATGTGCACAATTCAACTATATATTTTTATAGTTTTTATACATTAGTTAAGAATTGAAAGTTGATACAGATTAAATTATTACACTAGTGTAATAGTATGACTTACACAATACGTCAATATTTGTATTTTAATGAATATTACTATCTAATATTCTGATTATTATTCTGTAAACCGAGAAATTTTAAATCTATTTATAGAACTATATGAAACTGTTTAGCTTTAAGAGGAGCGTAAAGGCGAGCAATTTACCAATGCTGGCTTTTTCCTCGAACACTGGTTTGGTGAACAGCAAATACGTGTCAGCATCTGTCGGCTCCAAGTCTTCGATTGTAGACTCATCACCCTCTGTCTCGACTAATCCTTGGTCCTCGCTAACAATCATCTCTTCGTCAGCGTCGATTTCGTCTTCAGCCCTCACGACACCTATAACAACACAAGTAGTAATTAGGTCAGGTTTTTGAAAAACGAGCCGAACACCAGTCGTCGGTACTAATAGGTACAACTACAATACCTATGGACACGGCTAGTAGGGACAAGCACAGCAACATCCATTTAAACTCCATCTTCGAGTTAGGTAAATGACGTATCAGCACGGGGTAACGAAATTCAAACTTTGAGAGAGCAACGACTGAGTGACGATGGGATGAAAGTAACGGAGAACGGGAGTAACGGACACGTCTAATGACCACGGCGCCCCATTACGCGTCTACACGACGGCCAATGGGCTGAATGACGTTGCCGGCTGTAGTTGCGGACGTGGAAAACGTCACGGCACACTAGACGATTAGCCGTCGGTAAGTCAGGCTGGCAAACTTAACATTTCCGTTATCAATTTATCATATTTCATGAGGAAGTATCATCATTGATTATAAAATACTATTTATAATCAATGGTATCATAGCCAGACTATATGTTACAACCATAAGACCATGGTTACAACTTATATCTAACTGTAGCTCAAAAAGTAGATAGGTATACCTATGATAAATGAAAAATTGAGAATTTTAAGTGCAATTTTTGAAATTTTCATATTATATATCACAGTCGTTTGCTATTGTAATAAGCCACCTAAATCACGGATTATATTGCCATATATTTCACCAACTATATTATCGAATGCCGGAAAAAAAGTTCCTGGGAAAGGCAAATTTATTATCACTCAATTCACTAATAAGGTACGTTTTAGGTACATGTTATATACCGTTATATGTTATTTAAAAAAATACATATCTTATATAAAATGTATATGTTTTACCAGTATCATTATACATTATAAATTACAAAAATTACACACTACAAACTTAATTACACTCAATTTTTTAGTTACGGTATATTTTACATTAAAAAACAATTTTTAAAAATACACAGGTATCACAAATTAAAAAAAAATCAAAAATACAAATTACAAATTCAATCACATTTCATCCTTATATTATGTCCTACATTACTACATTAGATAGGATTACATCAACACTTCATTCTTCCCTAATAAATTGTTCTTATACATTTTTCAGCTGCAGAGTTTGCACTATATATTCTTTTTGTGGTCGTTTGTAAGTTAATTGCCCATTTTCGCTCAATGTTAATTTAGCCTTATCAGCTCTCGTTTTCATATTTTTTTAATAATTTCCATATCGATGGAATACCTATTTAACTCAAAGTACCACTTGCATAAACTGAATCAAAATAATTTACTAAGTCCTCCTCGCCTGGAGGAACAATAGTTTTAATATAAACCATTATTCCTTAATCCTTACTTGACGTACTTGGTGCTTTAGAGGGAGAAGAGCTAAGCTATCTAACATAACACAAAAATGGCTGAAATCCTCGTCTATACGAGTATTTCCACTTCTTTGCATTCAGATTGTTTGTTTTAATGATTCTTCTGTAGGCATTTTGATTAAAACTTGTTTAGGTAGGTACTGAGTTAATTACTTCATTGAAAATTTGACTATATAGGTGTAAAATCAGAAACTTTAGAAATTTCTTTTATTTCTATTTTAGATTTTACAGCTTTGATAGCACTTTGATCACATGCATGGTTAAGATCATGATTAACACTTAAGACTTTTTTTTGTTTAATGTTGATTTTAATATAGCTGGACACTTAAATTAACTACTTTTCAAGAATTTCCGCCAAATAAGCTGCTTACATTCTTTGCATGTTGTATACATTTAACCATTTAATGCAACTTTTTAGTTATTTTTATTCGATTTTAATATTTTCATTATTGATCAATAACGAGCACTAAACGAGTTGCATGCGTAACAACTAACAACGGATTACATGTATTACACCGATCGGACACTGACTAATAATGTAAAAACAGTAAACAAATCAATATCTTCAATTTTATCGATTGGCAAACTTTAAATTATGTTATTTTTATTATCGTAATATACCGTTTGTACAGATAATTATTGGTTTTTTTTCGCATTTCTCATTTACCCATTAACGTACCTAAAAGATGAAGTAAAAATATTATTTCGTAATTGAACGTAATTGAATAGGTACCATCTTAACTTTATATTTTATATGAACTATAGGGCTTCAATGAGAAAAACTTTTGTGGAAGTAATAATTACTAATTACTTGAATAATTAGTTTCAATAAAAAAAAATTAACAATCTATGAATTTACAATTATGTTTCTTAATTGATTTTATAAAAAGGTAGTTTTTCGGTGAATATTTTTCCGGTGACTTTTTCATTCACTATGTTATCATACAAATATCAAAATGACAGTGGCGTAGCCAGGGGGGAGGCTGAGGGGGCTGCAGCCTCCCTCCCGAAATGTTAATAAAATTTAAAAATTATTTTAATGGTCTATGGTATTCGATTAAAAACTAAACCACCGCTGTGTAAAAAATTTATCAGCCCCCCCCCCCACGGAAAAAAAATCCTGGCTACGCCACTGCAAAATGAATTTTGAATAATAAATTGAAAATACTAGATTTAAACTAAAAAAATTATTTTATTTTTAAATACATATTATTTTGTACTGACAATATGCTAAATTAAAATTGAAGAAATGTATTTAATGCCAGAAAAGAACTTCATTAAAAATCATTAAAAATACATAATAATAATAGTATACAATTATATTAGGTATTAAAAATGCTAATATTAAAATTCAATTTAAATATGGTTTTCAATGGCACTATAGGTTTATACAATAAAATAGTATATACATAATAGTTCTATAAAAAATTAAAATTAAACACAAATAAATTAAAAATCACAATTATTAAGTAAATGCTAAGAATTTAAATGATGTTGATTGGAAGAGGTAATCAATAGCCTGAATATCTGAAATATAATAAAATTGAATAAATTATAGTTAAAATAATTATTAGGAACATCCAAAATAAAAATAAAATCCTAGAAATTTTAACTAGTTCAAATCTGGATCATTTTTTTGTGTAAAACACGAAAATTGTTAGGCCAAACAACACTTACCCTCCGCCGGAATGACTGCCCGATTGCGCAGAACTGGCCGAATAACTGGCCTGGAATGGACCAAATCCGAAACTGGCGGACTGGCTGTTGGCTCCGCTCTGGCTGTGGCCGCTACCGCCACCTTGGCCGCCCGCGAAACTTCCCGCTGAAGCGTAGCTTCCCGCACCGTGTTGTTGTGGCCGCTGTTGGTAGTGGTGCTGTGGCTTGTGGTGTTGGGGTCTATGATGATACTCGGGCTCGTACTCATGCTGTGGCTTGTGGTATTGGGGCCTATGATGATACTCGGGCTCGTACTCATGCTGTTCCTGGTGATAGTGATGATGATGTTGCTGGGTCTTGTACGGCTTTTCGTGACCGCTTAGGCTTAAGATGCCCAGGAACGGACTGGCCGATCGAATGGGCCTGACCACGGCGGGGTCGACTTGCACATCTTGCTGTACCGACAACACCGCCGGTTCGTCCACGAACTCCATCACCGGGGCTGGCACGAACTGTCCGTATTCGGCTGAAATGTATTAAAAGTTATTAGGATTGATTAAAAATTAAAATATATACTATACTAAATGAAGATACATTAAAAAATGAATAAATATTAAATAAGTACCTATACTTTATTTTATTATTTAAATATTGTAACAATAAATAAAAGGTAGTTAACTGTTTATTTTTTCACCATAAATTATTTTCCTTATCATAATATAAGTGATTTTCAACCAGTCAACTACATCAGCTACATTTTTGAAGCTTTGATTTTGAAAAAAATTCTATTCATAATTCGTACCTTTTCATACTGCAGTATAATTTCTTTTTTTTATCGATCTTAAAAGAAACCTCATGTATTGTCCGTTGCCCATTAATTTAAATAATTTTACTTTTACATATATAAAATCTAATTTTTTGATTCATTTCATAGTATAGCAGTTAACATTTGAATAATATAGGTACCTACGTGTGGCGTGTGCTTACTTAACTGTTTTAGAAATTCATTACTAATTTTTATTTGATGCTAGATGTGTGTAACAACCAACAAAATATTATTTTAAAATTGTACGTATAATATAAAATCTATGAAAACTTGAATGATCAAGAAAATTTAAAAAATGTGTCCATTTATTTTTTGATTTGGAAATTAGTAATATTTTTTGTGAAAAGTATGAGTGTACGGTTATTTAACCTCGTACCTAAATCACTTATATTTTTTTTTTGTAGGTACTATTTTTCTGGTATTTTTTCTATCGCATTCTGTTAGAATAACTATTAAGACCTAGTGATTTATGATGATATTTAGAAACGTGTAAATTTCATAAAAAAATATATATTACCTTGTTGCGCATCTTCGGGCACCGGGACAGGTATGGCTCGGGCGAACACAGCTAGCACGACAACTAGCATAAATCCACTGCAGGCAAACATTTTCTGTGTTAGAGACATGTTTTAATTCCTGTAGGTATTTTATTTTCGTGTCGAAGTCTCCTAGGTGGATCTAGCTAGACTTGCACGTTGTACCGCAGCCGAATGAAAATGAAAACTGTAATATGGTTACACAGACCACGCCATTTTATAATGTTCCCACCAAATTGCAACTAAGGTTGTTTCGATGCTCAAGGATAATGATGATGGTATAGGACGTATAGGTACGTTACAACACATACTATTGGTAGCGTATTGTTTACGATTCTCAAGCTAGCAGTTTTGATTATTTGAAAATACACCATAATATTGGGTTTGACGTCACGATCGTATTAAAATAAATGATACATTTTATAGCATATAGGTATAAATGGTATATTACCTCTAAATAGATGGGTAATAATAATATATAATTATCAATTAATAAGTAGGTATAGGTATGTATTCTGTACTTCTAATAAAAAAAAAAACAACACAATTATATACATTAGTTAGGTATCTTATAAGTTTCCAAACATAATATATTATGTACCTACGTGCATATTTTTTAATGCAGGGTTTATCCGTTGTATTTTTCTCATTATTTTTCTTATTATACCTTTATACTCCATAACATACATAAACAGGCATCATATTATATTCTAAAATCGTAGCCTCTTAGGTCAATAACACTGCCTGTTTTTATAGTAGTGTTGTATGTATGGTATACAATAATTAATAATAATTTAGATAGAACTATGTAAAAATGTTTATAAACTGTCGAGAATTACACCCGTTAAAATAAGACAATAGACCTACCAACTACTTAGGTATACCTAATAATTAATATTAATTATAACTTTGAATGTATTCAATATCACTATAACAAGGCAACAAGTAGCGAGTTTAAAATTATTTGACAATGGTGTTTATTTTGAAAAAATAACTAATGAAAATAAAACCAACCAATTATTCTGTTATATAGTTGACAATTTCGAAAAAATTATAATTTTTAATTAACTTGATTCCGAATAAAAATTTATTTGGATTATATATTGCATGGATTTATATTTTACACTTAGTAACCAAGGTTATCTTTTGTTTTCTTAAATGAGTTAAATGTAGAGATAAATTAGCACTGTAATTTATAGTCCTCATTGCAGTGTATGACCTCATAAATGAGTTATTTTTTTGATGAAATTGTGAGTTTTTTTAAATTTTTAAATTTTTTTCTAAACTTTTTTTTAAAATGGTAAACCTATTCATGAGATTGTATATTATTGGTTAATGGTTACATCTTTATAACACGTACTCGCCATGTTTCGTATAAGATGATACATAATTTTATTTTTCTAAATAATTATAATATCCAAATTATCATAAAATCATAAAAGTCGTTTTTTATTCTGGTAATAATTATTAATTAGTAGTCACACATTTTGTCGAAAAAATGAATTGTCAATATCTGATAAGTTTAACTTATAAATGTATGATGTATATCTAATATTGGAACTAATTTACCGCCATTACTATTATAATGTATTATTACACTATATTATAATATGAATACATATCATTATAATTTATATCAATATATTGTTTAAATTTTTAAAGGCTACTTGAAAAAATATAATATATTAATAATTGAAGGTTGCTCTTAAAAATGTTTTAATTCCAAACAATTGCAGGTGACCGAATGTAAACTCGGCTTGCTACTACCTTCTTCTTTGGCCTATCAATATTATGATAGTAAGAAAAAAAAGTTTATTGTTAACTCCTCTCATTGGACAGAACTTGCAGGTAATTAAAACGTCGATTGTAATCTTCATCTTCATATTGTCTTTTCATTTACAAGTTCACACCTATACGGCCTATACGGCTATATATCTACACGGCTACACAATTTAACTCATCCGAATGTATATTTCGTCTGAAACAAATTATATCTAACATATATCACCTTAATATGCTAAAAATAAGCTGTCTTGGCTATCCATTTATTATACATCAAAACTAAAATAGAATTTTTAGGATTTACGTTTCAAAAATGAATAAAAATCGAAAATATCTTATCGTAACTTTCCGGTAAACTTTTAATGTTTGTAAAATGAAGTACAAATTGTGAGGAATCTTCTATTAAAATTTCTTAATGTTAACTATGAAAAGAAATAATTTTATGAATTACTAACTGAAAAATAATTTTAAAAAGTTGAAGATTTTGATGAATTTTGTCAAAATTTGAAGTTTAAATACATATGAAAAATAATCATCCCTATGCATCTTTAATATTTTAGAACTTCCATTAATAAAACTTATAAGGAACCTTGGATTAAATTTTCAAGCTTTTTTACTAAGTAAAAAAGTTTTTATCAATAATAGTTTAACATTTTACAAAATTCTAAAAAATTGTCATGGCTATAATTAACTCAAAAAGATTTCAATATTTTCAAAAATTATTTATTTGTAAAAATGACCACTTTTTTGTTTTATGGCGCTTTCTAAAATTACTGGGAGTTTTCACTTCGAAAAGTACTCTAACTAGATTCACTTTTCTATCAGAAAAGATGCTGATTTCGAAAATCTGAACATTTTTACTACCCCAAATGTTGATGACAGATAGAAAGAAAAAACACACATCATTGTAAATACAATACATTATACATTCATTACTTTGATCTTTTATCTAAAAGTAACGGAATATATAATATAGTTAATGCAGCTGTAATAGCATACCTATAATAATGGCCTTATATTAAATTAATTAATACATTTTACATTAAATATGTATTATGTATTATATGAAGATACAGATGTATAATTAAAATTAAGGTTTTTATACTTATTTAGTTGTTTGAAAATTGTCATATTATACCCAGGTTATTTAATAAAATTGAAATAAGAAATAAACAAAATATTTTTGGTGGACATTGGACCTCCTTTGGTTACCTATTGCAATAATTGCTAAATGCTTAAAAAAATAGTTTAAATAATTATAATATCTTCGAGGTACCAAATCTATAATGTTTGAAAAATCGGGGCCGTAAATGTATTAATAAACTAGTCACTAATACTCGCGGGCAAATCGGGGCCGAGTTTATAATTTACCTTTTATCACTCGACAGTCGACATTGTCAGTCCGAGCTTACAATCACCCACATAACCCATTGGTATATCATTAATTAAATTATCATCTTTTGATAAACCAGGAAGACAGAATCGACATGTGACGTCCTTGATGTCCTAATGGTCATTTACGTGGATGGTGAGATATGAGAAATAACGAAAAATCCCAAATGAATCATTATCAATTAAACTAAAAGTAAATACCATTAAATTATTCCAACTACACTTATGTGGGCGAGGACTGACCTTGGATTTTTTTTTATTATGTTTAATAATCCCATTTCCTGATCGTTTATACTTATTAGTTTGTATTTGTGAGTATTCTTCTTCTTATAATATCCGTTGGATTTCCATAATGTTTATAGATTATCTGATTATGCATGAAAACAGAATTGACAAGTTGTATACAAATTCAATTAAGAATAAGTAAATAACATTTTGAATGAGAATCAACACTTAACAGCATCTTTGACTGTAGTCATCGAGTCCTTGACCCTTACTAGTTGTCCTCGTTTATAACAATAAAATAATATACACATCGGAAGTTGGGGTTGCGTATTTCAAGCTCCTACGGTTACAAAAATGGTTAATACATAACTTTTACAATGATATATTATATGCGCATTCATTGAATACTGCATTACATGTACAATAATTATAAAAAGACAATTAAAAAAAATAGTTACTATTTTTTTCATTATCATCATAGTAGGTCTTTCTAACCTAACGCGTCTTTATATTATTTCTATGTTGATTAATGATTGACCAATGCTTAATTAAAATATTATTTGGGTACTATCTATCTACTTTATTCATGTATTTTTTATATGTACCTATCTATTTATCTTAGCTAATACAAACGTGATTTGACTGTCATGTCGAAGTGATCCTTTATGATATACTAGATGATATAGTAGATCTAATCACTGATCTCAGTGAGATTCATTTTTTAAGGAGGTTTTCTGTGTCTAACACCCGCAGTAGAGATACAATTTGTATACCTACTACGTATCTAGTAGAAAAAATATTAAATAGGTATAGTACTAAAATAGTAAATTATAAATTCTTAGGTACCTAGGTATTAGAGATTAACTAAAAAGATATTAATACATTTTAACGATATTCCGTATTATGTTTTGCAATTATAATATTTTGGGATAAATTGGATCTATTATAATTATATGGATTATAAATTGGATCGAAAGTATAACATTTCTAGTTCTTTTCAATGTGTATGTAGTCGGCAGATAGGTAATTTAAAAACAAATTAAGGAAGAAGGGAATATTTAGGCAACACCGGTTTATGAGTTATGACAAAATTGATTTTATTTATTTATGGTACACCTAAATGAATAACCGTAGAGACTTGACATTCTTACTAAATATTTAAATGATTACTGTAATTTTACAGTAATCTAAAATTATCAAAAACACGCATCGGCACAATATTTTTCATGAGCATTTGAAGTTCAGATTATGGTAAAGTTGAATGTATATTTAAACAAAAAACAACGATTTTACTTACCTAGTTTGTTGTGATTCAAAAAAATATTAACCATAGATGAGACTCGAAATTTTTCACAATTACCTATTTACCTACACACTGTTATTATATACGTATATTACTACTTACTTGTTTCTTTGTACAATGCAATTTAGAATTATTAGTTATTATAATTGCTATTTATAATTTATACCACAAACCAATTTACACCATTACACTGTACGTATTATATGTGTTTACGGTATTTTCTATTAACCATCTAGTTATAAATTCAATGTTAATTACAGTATTATATATTTACTATTTATAGGTATGATATAATATATTATGATAAAAATAATACAATATTTGTACCCGATGACACTGTAAAAAATGTGGTAAAGTCCAACTCATTCTTTTATTAATAAAAAAATTAATCACTTATAGAAATGTAGTATAATTAACAGATTATTATACAATTAAAAATATAGACTCTAATCACCGTCTTCTCCAGTCAAATTGGTCAAATTATTTTGTCAAAGAAGGGGAGGCTGATTTTTTAACATTAAATGCATTCATTATAGTGAACTCCTCAACGTCGAAATACACTCAAAATGTATTACTTCTACAGGTTACAACATATTATACATAAAGATATCAAGTTCACTGACTTCATTTTTTAGGATAATAAAAAAGTATTTTAATTGTATTTTAATAAGGTATATCAGCTATCCCGAAATATCTTGTATGATAAGTTATTATATGATAAAAACTGGAGGAGCATTAAAAATATTTTATTCCAACATGATTTAATGAATTGATTCATACAACTTGTGTTGTCCATGGCTTTTTTTTTTATTAGCTTTTTATTTTAAATCTAGCTCGACTATTACAATGGTAAGAAAAAGAAAAAAAAAGAAAAGAAAAATAAGACAATACGATAATAAGTAACATTAGATGGTAAAGCCAGCCTTCTGAATAAAATAAATAATAATAATAATAACCTGTTTAGAGTTAGAGTTTAAAATGGAGTGAAGATTGAAAGGAATTTTCATGGAATTAAGTGAAGTAACTAGGTTTGATGGAGAGTGAGGGACAGTCGAAAAGAATATGGGACAGATCGCAAATATATTCTTCCATATGTAGAGTGCAAAAAGGGGAATCGTTTAAATTTAGCTTATAGGCGTGAGAGGGTAATAAATGATGCCCTATACGTAAACGATTAAATTGAATAATATAGGAACTAGGCAGCAATACATTATTGAAAAAAATGTTATTGGTAATATTGGGTACAATAGATTTAAATCGGGAGGTAAAATTATTGGGTAAATTATGCCAGTAAAAAGACCAAAAGTTAAGACAATAGTGTCGTAGTAGAGGGGTAAAGTCTGACCAAGGGATTCGGAAAAAAATGGACTAATGCAATCTGAGGACGATTTGGGTAAGGAATCGGCGCACTCGTTACCTTGAATTCCCACATGACTGGGAAAAATGTCCATGGCTTAAACCAGTTAAACCGTGTGGCCGAACAAGTTAGAGACATACCAGGTATAAATAAACTAGCAAATAATGGACAAAAAATGTTTTTAAAAGCTCCTCAGTGTATCACTCCTTATAACAATTGTATGGATTGTCGCCTCCTCCAGAACCTGTAATGTACTTTATAAGTTAACTTTAGAGTTCCCCCTCGTTCTTCTAGATCAAATTTTCCTTTTGTAATTCCTTTCCATCATACTAACTATGGTAAGAACAACCCAATTGATCGAATGATGCGTTTAGCCAATGAGCACCCTACCTTATTTAGTTTATAATACAGAATTCATTATGTGTTTTGTTAATTAATAATTACTTTACGTCGTCAAAATGTTGTGTTATTGAAGTTATATTAACCGATATTTGTAATTACTTTCTGTTACCATGTATTAGATTTTTCAAATGTATGTAAAATATAATATTACATTTTTGGGTCTTGTGCCCGTTATATATAATAAATAAATAAATAACGAGGTGGGGAACATGGTTAGAAGCTGCTTTGTTTTACTCTGAAAATTTCAATAAATTTAAAGAATTGGTATCTAATATAGAAGATGACACCCAATCTGTCAATAAAGTAAAATTCATTTTGAGTACCGCATCAATTATATCAGATTTATTATTTATTCAATCACATTTGTCCCAGTTGCCAAATTCAATTGCAAGACTTGAAAAACAAAATGGTACTTTAAATTATCAAATAGATGTAGTTGAAACAGTAAGAGATGGACTTAATATTGTTGAGAATGAAAAAGGACAAATACTCTATGAAAAATTCAAATCAGTATTTGATAAAAATCCTGGATATAACATAATAAAACTATACAACGATTCAATAAATGGAAAGGACGTAGATGTAAAAGAAGATCCTGCTATTATAAGCTGCTACAAACAATGGCCGATCATAAGCGTCGACAAGGAACGTGGGTTTTCACAGTTAAAACACACATTAAGTGCCAGACGACATAATTTTACCGAAAAAAACTTGGAAATGTAAATGTTTATAAATTTTAATCAAATATTGTAAAATCAGTTTTATATATATCATATATAAAGAGTTGGTAGTTGGTGGTGACAAGTTTTCATTTGCTTTCCCCACCGAATCACAGCCCAAGTCCAGTGCTTTGAAACGAAGCCACATCCACACAACAAGTTGGCTGCAGATTAAAGTCCACATGTTGAATAGAATATAAGAGTACCGAGTACAGAGACAAAATTGTGAATTATTTTATTTACTAGGCAAAAAATGAATACGTACATATAGAATATCATCTTAATTTATCATGCAAAAATAAAGCAACATTTTTTTCTCATAGAGTTTAAATTTTCAAACAAGATTTCAAAGAAATCAATATTAATGAATACAAATTAAGTATTTCCTATCTTACTATATTAATTTTATAAACGTAAAACTAAATTAAAGTGATAAACAGATAAATTATGTTTCAGAGGAGTAATAATTTAAATTTTTGAATGGCGGTGTTAGAGTTCTATTTGTTGAAGATCTTAATCTACGTTTTAAGTCATTTAAATTATGATTATTTTCTTGATCACAGTCATTAGCATTTACGTTATTCATATCATTGTCAAACACATTTGAAGGGTATGAAATATTTTGGTTTTGGTCTTGTATGTTAAGATTAGATGTTTCATTCCTTTGAGAAACCGTTGAATTATATTTATGTTTGCTTTGGTTTTCCATAACATTTTGTGAGTATTGTTTTTGCTGAATAACATTAGAATTTGAAATCAATTTTTTTTCAGCATCTGTGACACCCATAGATCGAAGAGTTCTTCCATATAAACTTCTTAAAGTCTCTTTAGGTTTTATGTACTCATAATGGAATTTTTTTCTCTTAACTATGGGAAGATTTATTATAATATCAGATATTGCTTTATGTAATTTTTTTACATTTACATTTGATCTGTATTTAAAATTATCAGCTAATGACTGCCAACTGTTGATATTATCACATATTGTATTCCATTTTCCTGAGCCAAAAACTCCTGATGGATAAGGTTCATATGGCATTACTTCATGGAGATTCTGTAAAACAAAAAATTTAATTAAATTATTTAAGTTAAGAGGACGTGATACCCGCATGTGTTGTCTCCGTCTTACAAGTGCGTGCCATAGCAAATTTTACGCTCAGCAGAACATGTGTAGCTCCGTTAGTTTTAAAATTAGTGCGAATTGACCTCTTATAAAATCTAAAGGTAAGATTATTATCTAGTCAACCTCATAGGTTTTTTATTATATTTTAATTTTAACTCGAGTTATGAGTATTTTAATATTTTTAATTTTTTTTTTATTTTAAAATACTCATAACTCGTGTTAAAATTAAAATATAATAAAAAACCTATGAGGTTGACTAGATAATAATCTTACCTTTAGATTTTATAAGAGGTCAATTCGCACTAATTTTAAAACTAACGGAGCTACACATGTTCTGCTGAGCGTAAAATTTGCTATGGCACGCACTTGTAAGACGGAGACAACACATGCGGGTATCACGTCCTCTTAATCTAAAAGTGGAGTTTCAACAAACAAAATATATTATACAGCATATTGTACTTACACAATCTACTGGTAAGCCAGTAGATAGATCAAATGAGTTCTCAAAAACTTCTCTATATAATTTATTGGTACCAAAATACCAATATACTGATTTATTTAGGTCATAACCTAATGGTTTTATGTTTAACATGTGCCATATGTCAGAATTAATGGAGATTTTATTTTGAATATACTTAACATCAAGAACAAAATTGCAATAGATGTAAAGAGTTTCAACTTTTTGTTTTCGTGTTAAATCATCAAAATATATTGCTGAATCAAGTGAATATTTAAAGTTGTAAATCTGAAAAATATAATTAGTACCTAATTATTATTATTTAAACATTATACTATTTATCTTTGGCATTAAAGTGTTGGTTGTACTTAAAACAATACACATTACTGAAATAATGGAACTAAACTAAATTGATACCAAAAAGGGACAAATTTGTAATTTATAGGTGGTTATTTTATTTTTTACTACAACACGGAAAATACCCAAATCAATACAAGAATCAATACATACGATATATTATTAATACATACATAATATCAATTAAACTAATAGAGTTGATGAGTACGTATTTACTATTTGGTTTTTTTGAATAATTGGTATTGTATTTAGGTAAAGAAAACAAGTACATGAGGCGAGTATTAAAAGTTAGAACTTAAAAGCTTAAGGTTAATTTGAGTTAATAGTTCAGGGGAATCAATAATAAGTCTCAGAAAAGTTAAATTAGCTTCAAACCATCTGTAAGCTAACATTTTAAAGCCAACTAGAGGATAGTTATAAGGTGGGTGACTAATTTTTAATTGATACCGAACAAAGTTAAGAAACCTTTGTTGAACTAGTTCATTTATTCATACCACAAGAGGTATTGGGATCCATGTGTTCAACATAATCATATTTTGTATTTTAAATTTTAAAAAAAGTAAAATAACAAAATATGAGAAAAATAAGAAAGCAAACCTACAAGTTATTTTTGGAAACAGAACTAAACTATATTTAAAATAAACATGTAAGTGCATTATGTTCAGGGCCTTAATACTTATATGTTTTAAAATTAATAACACAGCAATATTAGTTTAAACTTACAGTGCATTTACTCAAAAATTTTCGTTTCATAAAATTCCACCATTTATTTGTGTTTGGATCAAAATAACCACAAATTTTTGTAAATCGGATAGCCATATCAGTCAACATATATGAATTCTCTTCAACTGCATTTTCAAATTCCTGTGAATTATTTTTTGTTAAAGGTAGTGAAATTATAATTCACTTATTAATTATTGACTTATTATATCAAATAACAGTTAAACATTTTGGATGAGTACTTTAAAATTAACTGAATAAAGAGCAATTGTTTTTTTTTTAAAATACATAAGTGTATAAAAATTTCAATTACTCACTATGTTGATGAATATTATTATTAAAATTAAGTAAAAAATACAAAAATTAAAAAAAAAACAACAGTTGAGTTTAATAATTAATGTATAAGAACATCTGGTTAATAATTAATTAATATTTATTATATAATTCAATATCTAAATATTTATATTTTTGTAAAATATTTTCAAGTTTTACTGTTATAATTCCTGTTCCCTCATGATTTGAGTATAATTTTTAATATAAATTTTGTACTTACATTTATGTTTATTCGACTGATATCTTTAGTGACAAGGGCAAGAGTATTACAAAAATGTACAATACTCGGTATCTCCCACCAAGTTTGAATATCTGAAATATAACAAATTATTATTATACTATATATTTTACTTAATACATATAAAAATCAAACAAAAAATGGATCATAGGTGATTAATTATTATTATTTTATGAAAAAAAAATGATTAAAAATTTAATTAACATGAATATTTCATTTTATTGTAAATTATTTTATTTTGTTACGTTTTGTTACAATGTAACTTAATTATACTGTAGCCCAATTTTTAAGATTTATTTTATAATGTAGGTAACCACTAATGGTAAACAGAATAAAAATTCTCGGTGAACAATCCCTGAAAAAAAATCCCCAGACTACAATATTACTAACAATCACATGCAAATTATTAAACAAATATTTTTTTTTACTTTCATTTCTTAGTGTAATCACCAACATTATTAATATTTAATCACAAATATATATTTATAGTGTAGTACTACATACTTAGAATTTAGAAAATGTTCAATTTTTATAGCTAAGGTTTTAAAATTTAAAATATTACATACCTATGTTTCTTATGATGTAAATAAAATATTTTAAAAATTATAAAATAAAAATAAAAAAATAACGTATAACTTCAAATAATAATAAAATAATTTTTAAATAATAGCCGATTAATTTAGGAAGGTACTCACAGTTAAAAACATTTTATAAAATATTTTAAATAATCATTAATGTCCAAAAATGTCAAATAATATAAATAATAAAATTATTACCAATTATTAGTTAGGTTACTGTTAATTATTAGATTGTTTTCTAATATTGTGGCTTACCAAATTCAAAAAATTTGGAATTTTTATTTTGCCACTCACAAACCTCGCACAAAGTTCAATAATTTGCATGTGTTTGTGTGAGTAATATTGCAGTCAGGGGATTTTTATTATGCAATTTAATAATATACCTACATACATTAATTATCCATATCTACCCTCATTTTTATTTTTCTTAAATAATGAATTAATTCAATTTTTAATTTTTGTAATTTTTAAGTACATATAATTGTGGACCACATTTGCAAATACCTACTTATATTGTGCAGAACAAACACCCTTATTTAGAATTTATTAAGTGATAGGCAAACTTGCTACAAATTGCAAAGTGCATAAATTAATGTATAAGTCATATTGACATAAGAGTAAAACTCCTTGGACTTTGGATTCGCATTCAACAAAACAAAATTATCCTAATGTTTTTTAATTTAAATCCGAGTTTATATCTGACTAGATACACTTGGCTTGAAAACTAGAACTAATTATAAACGACATTATAAAATTAAATAATATTATGTACAATAAATCTCAGAGCACTAGCCGCATAAAAAAAATGGAGGGAAATTATTAAGTATTGTTTACAACATAGACATATTAACTAACTTAGTTAATATGTCTATGGTTTACAAGTTGTACTGATATTTGATAATAGACCTATAAGATCTTTCGGGCTTATGGTAATAATACTTCATTGTTGAATATAAATGTTATATCTCACAACCTAAAATACTAAAACTTAATAAGTAATTAGTCATATTAGCGTATTAATAGGTACTCACCATCGTCCATCGTAATTGGCGAAAAATCGTAGAAATAAAATTACCGAAAAGACTAATTTGGTATGTTATATGGACATATAAATATGGTTAAATTTATAAGTCTATGGTATATCGTATATTATTATGAATCACTTCAGAATCAATTCATATTGTCATTTATCAGTTGTCACTACTAATAATGTACAAAATACAAATATTGAATGAGTAATTATTAGCGGCGGGCGTGAAGTTAGATGACCAACGCTTCCCGTACTTCTCGAATCCCGTGATGATAACGTTTAAAATTTATAAGAATATATGAGATAATAATGAATAATGATTGTAGTTATACTCGCCTCTGAGCAATTACTTATTACCAATTGGAAAATCAAAATATAGAATATAGATGTATTATGGTGTTAAAAAATCACTTCCTAGAGAATAAAATTTCAGATTGGCGGCAGCGGGTAGACCGATAAAAACATAAATGTGTAGAGTCGACGACCGAACGAGTCAAACAAGAGAACAAGTTTACAGTGGGACAGTCTAAATTCGTAGTAGTGTACAACTTGTCTAAACCGCGAAGACCGAACTACGACTACTGCGCGGGGGTGGTCGGAAGTATTCTAACCTAAAGCTATGACTTCTTTACTTTAAGACAGGGCCGGCGCAAGAAGTATTGGAGCCCTGGGCGAAACCATGTTTTGGCGCCCTTAACAAGCCCCCCTCCCCCGCCTAGTTTGAGTAGTAGTAAAATTAAGTTTTTTAATAGTATCTAAGTTAAATAAAAATAGTATGTATCATAACTTTAAAAACAATAAATTCGAAATCAATAAATAATTGTGTGTGTCAGACAATTGTGTCTTTTTGATAAGACTGCGTTATTTACGCCGTAAGGTCCGAATGAGTTTTACCGCCACGAGTTTTCTAACAAATCTAGATGTAATCGTCTAGTTTTATGAATTTATTTATAAATCGCTGAATATAATATGAAATTATGAAATAATTATTACGACCATCTATATATTTTATTGACCCACACAAATGCGGTGGTATGCTTGAATGCTTCCATGATCCATAGTTCCATGCATTATTGTTACATCAAAAACCAGAGGTATCGAATATCGATACACTGTTTTATTCTTACATTATACAAATATGGAACAGTTGCAGATGCATCTTCAATTAAAACGACATTAGATAATTAATATTTCAAATTGTACAGATTGTTAATGCCTATAGTATTAAACGATAATTTAAATAAAAATAATTTTCAGTTTGGCGCCACTTCCGTGCTGGCGCCCTGGGCAGTCGCCCAGGTCGCCCATAGCTTTCGCCGGCCCTGCTTTAAGATTAAGATAGATATAAGTTTTTAATTATTTTGGGGTGTGAACTGACTCAAAAATGAATAATAGGTACCGAATTTTATTTTATTATTATAAATTATAAGCAGTTATAATGGGTGATTTATGAATGTAAATATTCAATATCTCTCCAAACATAAAAATAACCTACGTTTACAATAGATATAAAATTAATATATTTTTAATCGTTAGTACGTTTAGTATACTTACTTGTTATTTTAGTGGACGTTATACCTGCATGTGCTGTAATACAGCGTTACACATCAAATTTTACGTTCGTCAGATCACGCTTAGCTCTGTTAGCTTCAAAATAAGAGTACCTAAATAGACCTCTTATTAAAATTAAACGTAAGATTATTACGGAGGGCTTCTCGTGGGCTTTTTATAATGTTTTAATTTTTTTTCGTTTTTTATTCAAACCGAATAATATGAATTAGAAAAAATAAATTATTTAAATACTTATAATAGCTGACTCTTATATAGCTAATCCATTCACATATTCAAAAATATGTAAATTTTTGTGACTTAAGGATAAACTGTAGTAAGAAGTTTTTTTGCTTTATTTCAAGTACAATATAAATCACAAACAATTAATATTGGCTCAAATAAATTTTAATTTTAAAAACATTTATCACCTGTTTATTAATTTATTATGGTGGTTGGTGAATAACCAAAATTCAAAAATAAAGTACCAAAGTCTAAAAGTGTAGATTGCAATAGTAGATATCTATAGAATATAGCACGGACTTTTAAGCAAATATTGTAAAATCAGTTTTATATGTATTGTCAGTTTATTATTATTTTAATTGAAATAAATTATATATATTTTTTAAAATTTTATATTTTAATATAATAGTTAATGCCAACTAATAAATTATAATATTGTAAAAATAAAATAGTATAAAAATAAAATTTGTAGTACCTGTAATGAAAATTTCGTTATTGCATGATTTTGCACTTTTTAACATTTGAACTGCACGTTTTTTGGGTGTTAGCTGCACAAAAATCCGGCCTTTAATGATAACAAATCATATTTGTATTTTGTTTGCATTTCTCTGAACAGTTAGTGGTGTAACCGCATATTGTTAAGAATGTTTAGATTAAGTTCACCCTCGATTATTTTAAATGTTTGGACGGAATTTGGATATAGTTTCACCACCTCCTCAACGGGACTCGGTCATTTTCAGCAGCCCGGGACGGAATTCGGCAATAATTGCCAAATATTATGAAATGCTCTCACAATTAAGGACGGGGAGTTTTGGTTTTTTTACTATTATTTTAAAAAGCTAAGGGAGTGGATCCGTATAGTGGATATTCACTAAAAAATATTGAAAATTTTGAAATCTACTTTCAAAAAGTATCTGTATTTACTATTTGTATATTCAACTAAGAACCTCCACCTACTTATTTTATCAAGTAGGTATTCAAATACTTTTGAAAATCAGTATTTGCCGCCTTACTTATATTTGAATACTTTCAAAAAGTATCTTTTAAAAGGGTTAATAATGCCCACCACAGTTTTCAGAGCGAAACTAGTTTTTACATGTACACCTACACGACCATTATATCTAAATATTGGTTGAATACAAATTATTATATTTTTCTTTAACTTCAGCAAAAACTTTTTACCAAGATCCAAGTTACAAATTGAAACAATTATCATATTTGTAGTACAATATGTAATTCAATTTAACAAATTACGTATTTTAAATAAATTAATGAATAAAAAAAAATACAGGCGTGGCGGAGCGAAACGCCACCTCTCAACAAAAACTCCAATTAACTTACGTAATTTTTTGAGAATTTAAGCTAGTGTAAAATAATATACCCATATACGCATACACGTGTACTGAACACTTGAATAAACTAATAAAATTTAACTTATACAGTTTAAAAAATAAATGTGATATTCTCATTAAGGCCAAGTTTAAGTTTGTATTGACGTATTGTTATAATATTATACGTGTTCGATGGGAATGTGGCAAAACACCACACAGTACCTATGTGTAGGTACATACATTTAACACGTACCTACTAAAAGATTTTTGAATATAAGTAAAATTAATTGAAGTGTCAAATACACACCTATTTTATATTTCGTGTAGGCATTACCTACCAAAATATTTATAATGTACTATGCTGTATTGGCATTGGTTTTTACGGTTATGAGCGCAATAAAATGTGTTCCATTGGTTAACTTGAAAACTTCGGAAAATTTGCAGAATTCGTCAACAATTTTGGATACGTTAAATACCTTTGATGTCTTGAACACTATCCATTTTATGTGTAGAAAAAACGAATCAAAAAAAGGTACATACGAGTTTATATATTACTGTCGACAGTTAACTGAAGAAAACGGTACCTATTTACCGTTGGAATATATTATAGAGAACAAAATTAACGAGATTCGCTCTAGTTTGGTGAAATTGTTAAATTTAGAAAATAAAGCAATTGTGTGTAAAGGTATGAGGCATTTACTGCCGATAATTATGTATGGAATATTTATTAATAACACAATAAATGGATCGATGAGCAACGGAAACAGTTATGGAATAGACACGTTTGATGAATTATTTAAAAAGAAGTCGGATTTTTTTAATGATGAAAATTCAAGTATTGAAAAAAAATTTCAACAAATACAAGCATCAACGATTAAAAATGGCGGAACAAACGAAAAACTAGCCGAGAGGCCTGCAAAAAAAATTAAGGGGGAATTCGGGCAAACAAGTAGCAGTTTTATGGAAAATATTAAGACAACAATTTTGTTAATTTTACCTTTTATCGGAAATCTTGACTGTTTCCATAATTTGTACAAAATAAACAAAGTAACGACTGCCGATAAATCTGAACGCAACTCATTGTTGTTATTGATTTTTGACGAAGTAAAGAGCATGTATAGGACAGAGTGTTCCACCGACGTTGACGCCGCAGCTCTACTGCAGAACACAGACAAGAGATGGAAATTCGAGCGCAATCACGGTTCGATCCCTCTGCTTGTCGGAGAAATCGACAGGCTGTCCGCGGAAGTGCAGAAAGATTTGCAATCGTTGTTCGTGAAATTCCTTTCTGCGACCGATCCCAAACGGCCGTTGCAGCAGTGTCCGGATGTGTCGATCTTGTTCTACCACATATTCAACAAGTATCACGATCCTGAAGTCTGGAAGCTGATAGGCAACGAGACCATAGTGGACCATTCATCCGATTCCGGCCAACCGGAAGCGACGTCAATAGACGAAGTTGCGTCGAATCTATCGACAAAGATCCAGGGGATAACGGACGGACTTACCGCGGAAATAACAAAAAAAGTGAAGTGCCGTTGTTACGCTTATTTGAATCTCTTAATGAAGCTATACTACTGCAGCATGCGCGTGTTGGCGGTTAACGCGCGGGAAGTTCGACGGTCGGCTCAGGCGATGCAGCGAATCGAACAGGACAAAGTTTACGCTTCGTTGCATGACGAAATCAAGGAACTTTGGACGGCCGAGTGTTTTATCGGCGACGACGTTGGTGCGATTGATGAGTTATTGGATCGAGACGGCGGTGATAAATATTTCCGCGGCGCCTACGCTGTCTACTGGAACCGGAATGCTCGATCCGTAGGCAAGGCGATCGAAACCGTATCGAATTATTCGTCAGACCTGGGCTTCGTGGCGGAATTCGGTCCTATGTTACAGGAGATTGACAGGATTCGGATACAGGCTGAGACAGAGATAAAATCCGTCAAGTCCTTGGTCGATAGGTACAAATGGGGCGAGCGAACGTACAAGGACCACTGCAACAGTTTTCCCGGTGTCGAGTATGACGACTTGTCCACGTTCAGCAACAGTATGAAACGGGCGTCACAAGTCACGAGGAGATTAACTCTGGGGTGGATAATGACGATGACTGACATTCTCAACGACGACTTGGAAGACGATTTAGAGATAATCAATAATAAGTTTTCATAATAATGACTAATGAGTAACTATATTAGATTCAAGCACATAAATAAATAGGTACTTACCTACCTATTCTTCTACAGACAGTTATTGAAATGAAAAGGATTAATATACGTAGTACGCTCATCGGCGTAACTAGGGGGGGGGGGCTAGGGGGGGGGCTTAGCCCCCCTGCAGTTGTATTTAGCCCCCTAGAAGGTTTTACATTTTAGCCTCAAATTGAGCCTGTAGCTAAAACCCAAATCCGAAAAAATAAGAAAAAAAAATGTTTAAAATAACTCATATGTCATAACTCATAATTAATAAATATTTTATACATATTGATATTGTTTTATTGTGGATGTACCAAAAACAAATTTGTAAGTAATTGGTTACCTATAGTTATAGCGGAAGAAATTGTCTTGACGTATTGTATTGAGTCAATAAATATTAAATACTAATGAGTATTGTTCACATATGGCTAAATATGGTACATTAATTATTGAATGTACGACGCGGCCACGCGGGTATGAGACTTATTATGATTGTTTATCAGTTAAAAGTTTTACACAAACTACAAAGTATTTATAGGATTGTATTGTATGTCCCGAAGACCAAAACCCACTTATTATATTTGTTATCTTTAAATAGGTACCTACCCGTATTAGCGTATTTTTGTATAGACATATTAGTTATATACTTATATCGTACAGGCGTACAGCAGTTACTGGTTAGTGGTTAGTGATCATTAGGGCTAGGATTTTGTAGCATTTGCATTTTCTTTCATAGTACTCCAGGACATAGCTAATCAAAAATAAAATTCGATTCATTCATCACAGAGTTCAAATATGCAATTTTGTTTTTGCTTTTTTTGCTTTTTCTTGTGATATTCGTAAATAAATGCTTTATTGGTACTTTTTTGTCAGTTTATTAGCTTTTTAATTGGTTTTTGTTAATTATACGCATATTTAACATTTACGTACATATTTATCTAAATTATTATTTTTTCATTTATTTTAATTATATATATTTTGTGAATTCGTAGTGAAATATTATCGCCTTATCGGAAAATATTTCTGAAAGTAGATTCTTAGATTTTGTGATTACTGTTTACCGAGTGGGGAGTAGTGGTCACGTAATACGACGTCTGTAATATCGTCGTAATATTATGTCTGGACTTCAGACGCAATGAGAACGATATTTATTGACTTGTTTACTATGTCTAAATTTACAATAATATTATTTAGCATTTCCTAATTATAGGAATTTCTATTTATATTCGAGTGCTAGCGTACGGAGTATTGTCGCGACTCGCGGAACCACGATATCAGTAATCGACAATACGTTATGCCGACAAGGCGTTAATCGTTTTTTCCTGTAATTACGTATTCGCGTGTGCTGTTAAAGTGTTATACCTACCTAGTATCAAAGAAATTTAAAATATTTTATAGTCTTTTTTAATATTTATATAATAAACAGGTACCTAAAATATAATAAAACCGTTTTTAATTTATTTTTTTCAATATTTATAAATTGTACTTGGCTGTTCTAAGAATTAATTGGTGTGGACATATAAAAATGTGTTTAATTAATTATTTTTTGATATTAAAAATATTTTTCAGCTAAACTTCAAAATTAATTTTTAAATCTTTTTTAGTTGCATTTTCCTGGTTAAATGCTTTTTTTTGTAGCATTATTGGCAATTTTTTAATTCCTTTATTGTAGGTTTTTAGTGCTTCATTTTCCTAGCCCTAGTGATCATAGTACTATTATATAATATTTTCTAACAATTCTCAATTTACAAGCACTATGCGATATGCGTGATGCGTCTGCGTCATTAGTGTACTAGACAGTGTCTCAGTAACAAATATTTTTTTTTTTGCGTATATGTTAAATTTATTGAATTTACCCATTACCTATTTATTAAAATGTTCAGTATATTTAAATCAAAAGCAAGTAGTGCTAAGAAAAATAATAATGATGCACCAAAAAACCAATCATCAATGAAAGTCTTACCAGATATACAAACAATTGAGGTAATACGATTTACGTAATTACCTATTTATTAGTTATAGGATAATTATTATTTGATATTTCTGTTTAAATTTCATTTTAAATTTTAATTATTGAACTGCAGGTTCTTGGTTATAATCAAAAACAAGTTGCTGAATCAACAAAATCAGAAAGTGAGATATATATATTATAATAGTTATAAGGTAATTAAATAGCAGCCAACTAATATTAAAATAATTTGACACATAATCGGTGGAGTATTTTTTATATTTTTACATTTAAATAATACTTTGACCTAAACATAGTTCTTTTGATTTTTGTTCTAGTCTTTATTTAATATAGATGAAGATGCATTAAAGTGTGAACTAAAAGTAGCAAAAAGGTGTTTGATAAATGCTCAAAATTCAGACAAATCCATAAGCGGTATGAATGTTGAAGAAAAAACACAATCTCAACTGTTAAAATCAGTTGTACAACAAGAAGTTTATCCAAATGTTTATTTATTATTAAAGACTGCATTTGCTATACCCATAAGCTCAGCTACGTGTGAGCGATCTTTTTCTTGTATGAGGAGAATTAAGTCATACATTAGGTCAACTATGACCCAAAACAGATTTAGTGATCTGGCTATACTTAATATAGAAAGAGAACTATCTAATGTAATAAACGATGATGATATTTTAAAACTATTTTCATCAAAATATAGGCGTATACAGTTATAAATTATAATGTAAATTTGTTTTTATTGACTAGGTTATACTTTGATTCTATGGTTTATTTTAAATTTTGATTTTAGAGGACTTGTGATTACTAAATGCTAGGGATGCTTAGGGGGGGTGTGGGGGGCAAAGCCCCCCACAAATTATCTTGGACTTGGGTTTTCTAGGACTCTAGCCCCTGTAGCTGTTAAATCCTAGTTACGCCCATGAGTACGCTAGTACTAGGTAGTGCCGCAACTAGAACTTTTCATGCTAGGACAAAGTTTTCTGCCATCTTTAATGCACCTCTTTAATAATATTGATAATTACCAAAAGCTGCTCTCTTAAATTTCTACTCATTTCATGTAATTTGACAATAAATTATAAGATACCTACTATCCTTAATAATTAAAAATAAGGGTATTCAACTAATGCAATCGAATAGTAACATATTATATTTTTCAAACGGATTTCATTTTTGTGGCTTTTGGATTAGAAAATCTTGAATAATTGTGTATTAATTTTTATTTGATTCTGAAGTTTGTCTAATACCTTATGAAAAAGTTGTAAAGCCAATTACAAGAAATAAAAATACAAACAAGATGGTACAATTTTGGATATTATTGTTAAAGTAGGTAGTTTTTTAGTTAAAAATGTACCCTGCCAAGGCGGTATTATGAACGTAACTGTATACTGCAATGGAAAATATTGCATTTACTTAAATTTTTTATAATTCTAATTGATATTTGCCTGTTGCAATATGTACAAATGAGAGGAGGTAGAAGACATAGGGTAAGAATATCTCTCCCCGATTGACATTATGAATATATTCCTTTCAACATTAGAATGGTAGTTGGTGGTGACAAGTTTTCATCTGCTTTCCCTACCAAATCACTGCCCAAGTCCAGTGCTTTGAAACAAAGCCACATCCACACAACAAGTTGGCTGCAGATTACAGTCCACATGTTGAATAGAATATAAGAGTACCGAGTACAGAGACAAAATTGCAAATTATTTTATTTATTAGGCAAACAATGAATACATACATGTAGAATATCATCTTAATTTATCATGCAAAAATAAAGCAACATTTTTTTCTCATAGAGTTTAAATTATCAAACAAGATTTCAAAGATTTCAATATTAATGAATACAAATTAAGTATATCCTATCTTACTATATTAATTTTATAAACGTAAAACTATATTAAAGTGATAAACTGATAAATTAAGTTTTAGAGGAGTAATAATTTAAATTTTTGAATGGCGGTGTTAGAGTTCCATTTGTTGAAGATCTTAATCTACGTTTTAAGTCATTTAAATTATGATTATTTTCTTGATCACAGTCATTAGCATTTACATTATTCATATCATTGTCAAACACATTTGAAGAGTATGAAATATTTAGGTTTTGGTCTTGTATGTTAAGATTAGATGCTTCAGTCCTTTGAGAAACCGTTGAATTATATTTATGTTTTTTTTGGTTCTCTATAACATTTTGTGAGTATTGTTTTTGCTGAATAACATTAGAATTTGAAATCAATTTTTTTTCAGCATCCGTGACACCCGTAGACTGAAGAGTTCTTCCATAAGTCCTTTTAGGTTTTATGTACTTATAATGGAATTTGTTTCTCCTTACTTCAGGAAGATTTTTTATAATATCAGATATTGCTTTATGTAATTTTTTTACATTTACATTTGTTCTGTATTTAAAATTATCAGCTAATGACTGCCAACTGTTGATATTATCACATATTGTATTCCATTTTCCTGAGCCAAAAACTCCTGATGGATAAGGTTCATATGGCATTACTTTAAGGCGATTCTGTAAAAAAAAAAGTAAATTAACTAATTTAAGTTAATCTAAAAGTAGGGTTTCAATAAACAAAATATATTATAAAGCATATTGTACTTACTCGATTTCCTGGTAAGCCAGTAGACATTATAAATGAGTGATCAAAGTCTTCTCTATATAATTTATTGGTACCAAAATACCAATACACTGATTTATTATGGTCATAACCTAATGGTTTTATGTTTAACATGTGCCATATGTCAGAATTATTGTAGATTTTATTTTGAATATGCCTAACATCAAGAATAATATTGCAATAGATGTAAAGAAATTCAACTTTTTGTTTTCGTGTTAAATCATCAAAATATGTTGCTGAATCAAGTGAATATTTAAAGTTGTAAATCTGAAAAATATAATTAGTACCTAATAATTATTATTTAAACATTATACTATTTATCTTTGGCATTAAAGTGTTGGTTATACTTACAACAATACACATTACTGAAATAATGGAACTAAACTAAATTGATACCAAAAAAGGACAAATTTGTAATTTATAGGTGGTTATTTTATTATTTACTACAACACGGAAAATACCCAAATCAATACAAGATAATTAATACATTCAAAATATTATTAATACATACATAATATCAATTAAACTAATAGAGTTGATGAGTATGTATTTACTATTTGGTTTTTTTGAATAATTGGTATTGTATTTAGGTAAAGAAAACAAGTACATGAGGCGAGTATTAAAAGTTAGAACTTAAAAGCTTAAGGTTAATTTGAGTTAATAGTTCAGGGGAATCAATAATAAGTCTCAGAAAAGTTAAATTAGCTTCAAACCATCTGTAAGCTAACATTTTAAAGCCAACTAGAGGATAGTTATAAGGTGGGTGACTAATTTTTAATTGATACCGAACAAAGTTAAGAAACCTTTGTTGAACTAGTTCATTTATTCATACCACAAGAGGTATTGGGATCCATGTGTTCAACATAATCATATTTTGTATTTTAAATTTTAAAAAAAGTAAAATAACAAAATATGAGAAAAATAAGAAAGCAAACCTACAAGTTATTTTTGGAAACAGAACTAAACTATATTTAAAATAAACATGTAAGTGCATTATGTTCAGGGCCTTAATACTTATATGTTTTAAAATTAATAACACAGCAATATTAGTTTAAACTTACAGTGCATTTACTCAAAAATTTTCGTTTCATATAATTCCACCATTCATTTGGGTCTCGATAAAATTTCCAATAACCACACACTTTTGAAAATCGGAATGCTATATCAGTCAACATACATGAATTCTCTTCAACTGCATTTTCAAATTGCTGTGAATTATATTTTGTTAAAGATAGTAAAATTATAATTCACTTATTAATTATTGACTTATTATATCAAATAATAGTTTAACATTTTGGATGAGTACTTTAAAATTAACTGAATAATGAGCAATTGTTTTTTTTTTTAAATACATAAGTGTATAAAAATTTCAATTACTCACTATGTTGATGAATATTATTATTAAAATTAAGTAAAAAATACAAAAATTAAAAAAAAACAACAGTTGAGTTTAATAATTAATGTATAAGAACATCTGGTTAATAATTAATTAATATTTATTATATAATTCAATATCTAAATATTTATATTTTTGTAAAATATTTTCAAGTTTTACTGTTATAATTCCTGTTCCCCCACGATTTGAGTATAATTTTTAATATAATATTTTGTACTTACATTTATGTCTATTTGACTGATATCTTTAGCGACAAGGGCAAGAGTATTACAAAAATGTACTATACTTGGTATCTCCCACCAAGTGTGAATATCTGAAATATAACAAATTATTATTATTATTTTTATTTATTTAAGCTTTGACAAGTGAGGCCATTAGCTGTAGGTTGTGGTACTGTAGGGTTTTTGAAACTGTAGGGTTATGGAACACGTGTGTGTATGTTTGGCAGAGTTTCTAGTGGGCACCCGTAGGCTTTTGCCATGCCCGGTTGGGGGATGGCACCCTCTCTCTCCGGACACCACGACTGCTCGGAGAGAAGTGCCGCTCGTGACCGAGGTTTGAACCGGCGACGGTGCGCGTTGCAACTGACGCATTATCCACTCAGCCACTTTGTCCCCCATAACAAATTATTATTATACTATATATTTTACTAATACATATAAAAATCAAACAAAAAATGGATCATAGGTGATTAATTATTATTATTTTATGAAAAAAAAATGATTAAAAATTTAATTAACATGAATATTTCATTTTATTGTAAATTATTTTATTTTGTTACGTTTTGTTACAATGTAACATAATTATACTGTAGCCCAATTTTTAAGATTTATTTTATAATGTAGGTAACCACTAATGGTAAACAGAATAAAAATTCACGGTGAACAATCCCTGAAAAAAAATCCCCAGACTACAATATTACTAACAATCACATGCAAATTATTAAACAAATATTTTTTTTAACTTTCATTTCTTAGTGTAATCACCAACATTATTAATATTTAATCACAAATATATATTTATAGTGTAGTACTACATACTTAGAATTTAGAAAATGTTCAATTTTTATAGCTAAGGTTTTAAAATTTAAAATATTACATACCTATGTTTCTTATGATGTAAATAAAATATTTTAAAAATTATAAAATAAAAATAAAAAAATAACGTATAACTTCAAATAATAATAAAATAATTTTTAAATAATAGCCGATTAATTTAGGAAGGTACTCACAGTTAAAAACATTTTATAAAATATTTTAAATAATCATTAATGTCCAAAAATGTCAAATAATATAAATAATAAAATTATTACCAATTATTAGTTAGGTTACTGTTAATTATTAGATTGTTTTCTAATATTGTGGCTTACCAAATTCAAAAAATTTGGAATTTTTATTTTGCCACTCACAAACCTCGCACAAAGTTCAATAATTTGCATGTGTTTGTGTGAGTAATATTGCAGTCAGGTGATTTTTATTATGCAATTTAATAATATACCTACATACATTAATTATCCATATCTACCCTCATTTTTATTTTTCTTAAATAATGAATTAATTCAATTTTTAATTTTTGTAATTTTAAAGTACATATAATTGAGGACCACATTTGCAAATACTTATATTGTGCAGAACAAACACCCTTATTTAGAATTTATTAAGTGATAGGCAAACTTGCTACAAATTGCAAAGTGCATAAATTAATGTATAAGTCATATTGACATAAGAGTAAAACTTCTTGGACTTTGGATTCGCATTCAACAAAACAAAATTATCCTAATGTTTTTTAATTTAAATCCGAGTTTATATCTGACTAGATACACTTGGCTTGAAAACTAGAACTAATTATAAACGACATTATAAAATTAAATAATATTATGTACAATAAATCTCAGATCACTAGCCGCATAAAAAAAATGGAGGGAAATTATTAAGTATTGTTTACAAGTTGTACTGATATTTGATAATAGACCTATAAGATCTTTCGGGCTTATGGTAATAATACTTCATTGTTGAATATAAATGTTATATCTCACAACTTAAAATACTAAAACTTAATAAGTAATTATCATATTGACGTATTAATAGGTACTCACCATCGTCCATCATAATTAGCGAAAAAGCGTAGAAATAAAATTACCGAAAGACTAATTTGGTATGTTATATGGACATATAAATATAATATGGTTAAATTTATAAGTCTATGGTATATTATTATGAATCACTGCAGAATCAATTCATATTGTCAGTTGTCACTATTAATGTACAAAATACAAATATTGAATGAGTAATTATTAGCGACGGGTGTAAAGTTAGGTGACCAACGCTTCCCGTACTCCTCGAATCCCGTGATGATAACATTTAAAATTTATAAGAATGTATGAGATAAAAATGGGTCGGGTGCAGTTGTCCGAAAAATGATAAGGAAGTTGATATCACGACTTATACCATAATGTACCAGATCCAGCAGTGATACCCCCAATAAGATATAATTTATAGCGATACCTTGTTAGCGGCACTCGTCGCTACGCTCCTCGGCGCCGTCGCTACGATCCGCAAATCGAAAATGTCCCTCGACTTGCTGTGCAACACCACCTCAAGTTGGTCACTGTGTAACCGCAGTTATACCAGAGAACAACCACTCTTATCATTTATTTATAGAGAAGGCCGTATTGTAATGTCGTTTTGCGTAATATCCGCGGTAAAGTTTTAAAATTTCAGACTTCAGTATTCAATATTCATTCAAATTTATAATACTATTTAATACTATTGACGTAAAAATAATAACTAAGCTATTGAAAAAGATTCCTTCAATTCAAAAATTCTGAAATTATAAGAAACCCCAAAATATAATTAAATTAAATTTTTATATTATTGATGTAATTAATAAATTTAGTAGCATAGTAGCATCATTAAGTACAAGTAGTGTCTTACTCATTCGGTGAATTTTGTTCTTGTACTATTTTAATTTCATCTAGGTCACTTGTTGATGCATTACAAACCCTTTTTTTAATTTCTTGCCTATTTTTTGTCCCTACATTTGAAAATCGTTCTGGTAAGTCTAAAAATATTGGAATAGAATTTTCTTTTAATGCCGGACGTATTCGTTCAATGTATTCAATTGACCCATCAGGCATTTTACACTCATATCTTAAAAAATCATCTTCTTTAAAATGTAAACCGCAAACTACATCTTTTATGGATAAGTTTCTATCTTTCCGTGGTATTTTATTATTCCATACACATTGTAAGTCCTGCAAGATAAATAATTTTAAAACGTTCATGTTTCTACCAGAATACCTGTATTAGTTGTTATGTAGCTTTTTATATATTTATTTGTTTTTGTTATTATTATTACTATTTTTTTTTACATATTCAAACATTGTATTTGTTACTCTTATTAAAAATATAAAGTCTCTAAGAGATAACTTAGAATTTAAGAACCCTAGAGAACATTTTGATTTAAATGACATAATGCAAACATTAAATTTGTATTAAAAATCAGACTGTTCTTTATTATTGATTTTTTGTATAATTAATTGTATATTTAATTATTTTAGTATTAAGTTATATACCTACTTATATGTATTGTATAGTTTTCTTTGTCTTAAAAAAAATGTTATATAAAGATCAGTAGAATAATAAAAAAAATTTGTGGACGCAGGCTTCCTCTCGGTGGTCAATGTGTTAAGTTTCGTTAGAGGTATGTTACAGTGCATAATTAAGTATACAAAATATTATTATAATATAAAACAAAACAATAACTATCAGGTAAGTGTTACTTGTGGTGGATGGAACATGGCTGGTACATTCTTCCCTGCTGCTTTTATTATTTTAGTATTACTTAAGTAACCAGACTTGCATGCGGGAACAAAACATTTGTTGGGCATATTAATTAGCACAATATGGGAATTGTTTAAAAATAATAATAATTTTTATTAGTTTTAGGGAGGTGTGAGTGGTTATATTTCTACTATAGGTAGTGTATATAAATAAACAATGTTCATCAATATGTTAATAATATGTATATTATTCAAAACAAATATACTTAAATAGACAATATTGCTTATAAAATATTTTCAAATCGGCCTTCTTAGCTCTTCCTGGTTGACAATTCTGTAACTAAACTGCCGTAAAAATGGTACACATTTATTCCTCATACGTATCATTGATAGTGACTACACCGTTTTACCTACATCTTGCCATGGTCTTAGCTTATTACTAATTGGAAAATCAAAATATAGAATATAGATGTATTATGGTGTTAAAAAATCACTTCCTATATAGAGAATAAAAATTCACATTGGTATTTGGTGGTAGCGGGATGTACGGTCCGCTAGCAATATTTGATAAGAGAATTCAAGTGTTCCCAAAATCTATTGCTAATCGTCAATTTGTATACAAAGTTGCCTACCTTAATCCTGAAAATCTATTGCTAACGTTCAATTGTGTGTTAATTGCCTACCCGATTACCAAATACAATATATGGCTATATATTATAGGTATTAGAGATTCATTCATTTAGTACTTATATTTGACTGTAAGAAAACTGTATTGCCGTTGTTCAATTTCTTTATTTATTAGCTTATTACATATCCAATTCTCGAAGAAATATATAGCTGTAGTATCTACTACAACTACCTAGTGTTTAATATATCATCTTTGTGACTTTGTACATTTAGAGAAAACTTACACTTTCACCAAATATATTTCTACCGTTCAAAATGAAATATTTTTACATATTTTTAATTATTAAATGGTATTGTATATTCTATATTTATGTTATACTTACTATGTTGTAATAAGTATACAACATTTTTACTTTAAGACTGATGGAAGTTTTAAATTATTTTGGGATGCGAACTGACGCAAAAATGAATAGTAGGTACCGACTTTTATTTTATTGTTATCAATTAGAAGCAGTTATAATGGGTGATTTATGAATGTAAATTATTCAATATCTCTCCAAACATAGAAATAACCCACGCTTACAATAGGTATAAAATTAAATATATTTTTAATCTTTAGTACGTTTAGTATACTTAATTTAAATTAAGGGTAAGATTAATACGGAGGGCTTCTCGTGGGCTTTTTATTATATTTTAATTTTTCTTCGTTTTTTATTTAAAACGAATAGTATGAATTAGAAAAAATAAATTATTTAAATACTTATAGTAGTTGACTCTTAGCTAATACCCTTCACATATTCAAAAATATGTAATTTGTTATGACTTAAGAATAAACTGTAGTAAGAAGTTTTTTTGCTTTATAGAGACGACATATCGGGTTCACTATATATAGTGTCTTTTCAAGAATGTATATGATTTTAATCTAGATAAACTTAACAATTGACATGTACATATCGAGGCGGACTGGGCCACTGTGCAATGTGTGCCACAGTGGGACGGTGTCATTTAATGTATCCCGGGCTGGTACAAAATAATCCACCTGGTATAATATTATTATTAGGGCAGAGAAGTTATAGGAGGTAAAATTGGAAAAATATGCATGCAAATATGCACATAAAAAATTGAAAATATGCATTCAAATTCATTAAATATGCAAGATAATATGCACAAAAACTAAATTATAATTTAGTAAAATTAAAAAATTAGATATAAAAGAAATTTAAAAATCATTGCATTGCACAATAATTTTATTTTAAATATTTTCTACGTCGAATGATCGCCGATTGTCAGCCAGTATGGTTTTGTACCTTGAAAAACTTCTTTCGACGTTTGTTGATGTTACTGGTGCATATTTATAAAATGTTAAATCATTTCCCGTTAGGTCTTCTGGTAAACCATCCATCGATGAACTTTCTCCATTCAACATTTTTAAAATTTTTAATATTATTGCAAACCCATCATTTTTTTCTAAAACTTGATTGAATTTTGTTTTTACTTTCATTCCAACGTCACCCGCAACTTCGTCCAATTTATTTTTTGTGAACATTACTGTTGTTACTGAATCAGTTAATGATACTCCTTGTGATTCTAATTTAGTTATGGTTGATGGTAAAAACCTATAATTTGAATGTATAAAAGTTAAATTTGGTTCCATTGAAATTTCATTTAGAAGGGCTTGAGATTCATTTATAGATACAGCATCGTTAGAATCAAAATGTTGCATAACATCTCGTACTTGCTTAAAATATTGGCAGTAATAAGAAGTAGCTTCAATCCAAGAACCCCAACGTGTAAGTACAGGTTCGGGAGGAAGAGGGACTCCGGGAGCTTCTGTCTTTAAAAATAAAACACGCGAAGGTGCTTTTAAAAATACTTACTTTCCTCGCCTTTTGCTACTAATTTATCAACTCTAGGAAAATGACTCCGAATATTTTCTGCCAATCTATGTAATCCGTGTGCTATACAAGTAATATGGATCATCTTGGAGTACAAAGCCTTGATAGTTGTACCTGCTTTCTTCATGTATGGCGCAGCATCGCTTAAAAATAGGAGGACGTCATCATGACGAACACCGTCTGGCCACAGGAGAAACATTGAGCTGTCAAAAAGTTTGGTTATTGTAGAAAAATTGGCTTTTTCTAAAACTTCGGTATTTAGTAAATATATTTTTCCGGGTCTATCCTTCAGTAGAGTTCCGATTATTACGTTTGCAATATATCTCCCTTGCACATCTGTCGTTTCATCTATAGAAACCCATATTTTATTTCCTACAACGTCTTTTCTAATGTGATCAATAGCTTCTAAATGACAATCATTTGTATAAGTTTTCCTCAACGTGGATACACTAGGGATGTCATTTAGAGTATATTTTTCAAGGAACGATCGGAATTGAACATTAGAAATTTTATGTAAAGGAATGTTAGCACACATCATAGCCTTGCATAAATCATGTGAAAAAACAGATTTTTTGTTTGACGGCTGTGATATAAATTGTTGTTTATTTTCTGCAGGTTTATTTTGACGAGCTAATAGTCGTTCGTGTTTACTTGTTTTTATATGTTGAGTTACTGTAAATTTTTTATCAGCACTTACTTTAACTTCGCAAATCTTACAATAAAGCATAGTACCATCGGTAGCAAATGTATCTTCACCAAACAGTTTCACATACTTGTTAAATATATTTGCATTTATTTTTGGCATTGTGCAAAATGTTAGCAGAAATGTTAAAAGAAAAATTTAAGAATGGAAAAAACAACAAACGGCACGCAGTTTCGTATCGAACGACACTTAACACCATACTAACGAGATTACTGACGGACAGTGGACTCTGGACACATAATAATATAAAATTTAATATAGATACTTAAATGCCAATCTGTCAAATCTTATCTTCGATAACATTATCCGAATGCCCACCTAAAATATGTGGGTACCTATAATATAGTACATAGTCTATACGGGCATCGGGTAGTATACAATGTATATATACTATACAGTATATAATAATACCATACAGTTTGTATGTAGAATATGCATGAAATATGCACAAAATAACGAAATATGCAATTTTTTTTAAAATCTTTAAAATATGCAAAAATATGCAAAAAAAAATTTTAGATTTCAACTGTATGGCCTATGACTTATATTTATATCTTGGTTTGCTATAAAATAGAGTCCCAGAATAAAACATGCAAATCCTATAACTTCTCTGCCCTAATTATTATTGTTGATGATTGTTTTAGGACCTATTCTAGTATTCTATTTAGAACTCCTTTGTTGTAGACCAACTTAATCCACTCAGCTCAACTCAACCTTAAATGCTTATAAGTTATAACTAAATACTATATAGGATCCGTACTTAAACGCAAAGTGCATTATTTTTTGGGGAGTTTCTGACAATGCTTTTGAAGTACAAAATCCCTTTCATACCTATTTGTACATCAAAGAATTTAAAACTATTTAACTTTTATTTTGCATTTTTATCAGTTTTTCTATTTTTTGAGCAATAATTATTACAATTTTCAAGTAATTTTTTTTTCTTAGTGCATATTTATACATGACTTAGGTGCATTTTTATATTTTAGATAAAATTTAATTGGGAATATCAAAAATTTTGTTGCGACCATTGATCATATTATGTTCATTGTTCTATTCACGGTTTAAGATATAGATATAGCCATATAGGTATATCTTAAAGACTTAAACTGTGGCTCTATTTATGATTTTATCAACTTATCACTAACAAGTAACAACTAATTGGTTATTCGGTGTTACATCGTAATCGCGTCTATATCGTTAAGTTCATATTTTTGTTTATACTCAAAAATCGTTAAAACAATTTCTTGGTAATTTTTAAGGTCATTATTGTGGTTAAAATATATTTTTTAAGGCATTATATTCTAGATGTAATTCTATGATTCATGATTTCAAGTACAATATAAATCACAAACAATTAATATTGGCTCAAATAAATTTTAATCTTAAAAACATTTATCACCTGTTTATTAATTTATTATGGTGGTTGGTGAATAACCAAAATTCAAAAATAAAGTACCAAAGTCTAAATGTGTAGATTGTAATAGTAGATATCTTATATCTATAGAATATAGAAATATCTTAGTCAGTGATAAACACTTCACGGGTAAGAGACATACATTTTACGATAATTAAGGTATTTACTTAAATCGTGATCATGGCACGGACCAAGATATTCTTAGTCCGTGGATCGTGGTAAATAATAATTAATTATCATCGGAGTGTTTGAATAACCGCGTTATTCGTGATAAACAGTACCGCCAACTCTTCGCTTATACTGTCGTGGTGTCGGCGACCGATAGTTTTCTCCCACGACTGGTACGACGCAGTGCGCACGCCGCCACAATTTAACAACAATAAATTTTACTGCGGGCTGGGCTGCATCCTGCAGCTATTATAACGGCGGCACGGCGCCGTCCCTCGTAAACAACGGAAAATCTCTTTGCGCGGCGTCCAACACCCCCACCGCCGAAGATTTTGAGCTCGGCGCTTGCGCAGACCACGTACCGCGCGTCTGTGTGTGTGACTGTGTGAGTGTCGCCGCCGCCGCCGTCGAGGTTCTCTATAGTCCGCTGGACCGGATAACATGACAAAAATGGCCGACGGCGTGGACATCGATCTGTACGCCGACGATTTGGAACAAGACTTCGCCCAGGTAAGATACCAACTCACTTTAGCTCGTCGTCGACGCTGTGCTTGTGAGTATTTAGCGTGCGCGTCCTCCATCAGCGGTCGTACAGAACGTGCGTCTGCTGCCCAAGCCCGGTAGCATCGGCTGAATTACCTGATCTGAATGAAGCCTCTGCCGGATTCGGCAGTTACTTAGAATTACTATCCGTCCGTTGCCACTACAAGACTTTCGTCCGTCGCCCTCTGCACGAGACCTATGCACGCCGTCATTCCCTCCGCCCACTCATTCATTTGCTCACCTATTTGACACTAGCCCACCCATTATGCCTAACGCGTGCGACCTGGTACAGACCTGCGGGTCGCCGATACTCTAGGCCTTGTCGATCTAGTTTGATCGCTTCTCTTGAGTCGGTGGTTAGAGTACTACTAAGCATCTGTATTATGGTGCCATCAGATCCACTTCGGCAGTTAGCATTTATCTCAAACAACTCAAACCTCCCGTTTTTTGTAGTTGATGACAATTTTTCTTTTACATTATCTTCTGCATGGCACACAATAATATGCTAGGTTTTTCTCATCTCCAATTTATTCTCTTTACTTCATTACTATTGTATCATAATAAGTATCATTCAATTAAGTTTTTATTTTTTAATAAATTAATATAAGTCTTATTACCATACGTATTAATCATGAAAACCTTAATTATATTAATCGATTACATATTATTCAACAGAATTGCTTGTATTGTTTTAGGTAAAATATAATAACTTTTTAGTAGGTTTTAAATAAATAATAAAAATGGAAGATATTGATTGTGTATAGGTACCTATTGATTTTTTTTTATAGTACAACAGTGACTAATAGTGTTACAAATAAGTATATTATATTAGTATATTATTTTTATAGTTTGTTATTGGCTGTTTGTTAAAATTGAAATCTAAATTAATATCATAAGTGCTAGGTATAAAATAAAAAAAATAATTTAGATTGTATCTGCACAGATGCATATTAATAATTGTACTATTTTCCTTAGTTTTCCTAATTAAAAATTTTTTAAATAGTTGCTACCTATTTTTTTTTATGAAAAATTATACTTTAGGCTTTGGTATATCTACCTAATTACTAATTAGGTATAATATGAGTACATCTAAATGTCTGGGTATAATCAAATAGTTTAAGTTGGAACAAAAATATATAGTTTTTCTCCAAGTCTGAAATATAACATATGAGTTGGCACATAATACATTCCTAATATAATTTATAATAATTTTTAATGCCATGTCTTACAAAAGGTGTGGAAAAATTAATAACTTGAAAACTACATTTTGAAATGTAACTACTACCAAATTCAATTTCGTTTGAATAAAAATGTGTATTTTTTTCATATTTTTTGTTTAATATTTATGTTTATAAAATATAAGTTTTGTGCAATAACTTTGAGCTATTTTTGATATCATATTTATTAGGTGTCATATACTTTAATGATATGTATTGGAACTGGACTATTAACATAATTATCTAATATTAGTTGTTCTTAAACCTATAATATTGTATATTAAATATTTTGTTCATTATTTTAGGAGGATTTTGCTGGTAACGACAATGTAGATTTGTATGATGATGTCATATCTGGGACAAACGATAGTGCTCAGACAAGACAACCAGTTGATAGACCTCCCAGTGCAAATAACCAAAATAGCACTCCATTAGTCACAAATGGTTCGTCTACTAACAGCTCCTCCAGTAATAATTCTACTACAGGACGCCGGTACCAATTATACATTGGTAATTTAACATGGGTAAGTGAAATATGCCTAAGTGTGTTTATTTGTATTTAACCAACTTGTACTTTAGTTTTATGATCATTGAATTCTAATTTATATATAAATGTAATTTACAGTGGACAACTGATCAAGATATAACAGATAGTGTTACGAGTATAGGTGTTTCAGATTTCATTGAGGTTAAATTTTTTGAAAATCGAGGAAATGGCCAATCTAAAGGTTTTTGTGTTGTTACTCTGGGCTCAGAGCATAGTTTACGGATGGTTATGGATAGATTACCAAAAAAAGAGCTCCATGGACAATCGCCCGTTGTCACTTTTCCAACTAAACAAGCCCTTTTACAGGTAATAATTGTCTTAATCATTAGTCTGTTTAATGGAGGAGTATAATATTTATTTATTTAAATTGATTTAGTTTGAATCACAATCCAAAACTCGACCACTGCCACCACCTAACAACCAGAATATGCCATCTATGGGTGGTATGTCTAGAACACCTGGTCAAGTTATGCAGCAACCTATGCGTGGTGGTCCTATGATGCCACAGCAACCCATGATGCAACAACAAGGCATGAGAAATAGAATGCCAATGCAGGGTATGCAACAACCCCCTCAAGGCATGCAGCCACCGATGGGAATGACTAATGGCCATAGAATGCCATTGCAATCAGGTGGTCCTATGGGTCCCCATCAACAAGGTCCACCTCCTCCAGGTTACCAAAACCAGTGGAATGGACTTAACCAACAAATGGGTAATTATTTAACAATCAAATTATGTTGTATATATTATTTTTTTGAACTATTTTGCTGTTGGGAACTATTCAGGCCCTCCAAGACCAGGGATGCAACCTCAAGGACCAGTGGGTCAGCCTAGAGGACCACCTCCAGGAATGGTAATTATTATAAATGTTTTTTTTTGTTCCAAACTCAACTGTACTTTTTGTAGTTTCCACCGGGTCAAGGTCCACCACGAATGGGACCACCACAAGGTCCTCAGGGTCCACCGGGACCCGGGGGTCCACGTGGTGATTGGAATCGTCCTCCTGGAATGGCACCACATCAAATGGCTCCACCAGGCTCAGGTTTTCCACCACATCAACAAGGTCCACCAATGCAAGGTCCTCCGCCTGGTCAAGGTAAGTTTTTCAAGTCTCATGTGTACAAATGAACTATTATTATACATATAATCAAACAAATTTAATTACATTTTAGGACCAGTTCAAATGATGCCAGGCGGCCCTGGGCAAGCACCAGCTCCACATGTGAATCCGGCATTCTTCCAACAGCCTAGTGGTGCACCTCAGGGACCCCCAGGTCATCCAGGATATGGTCCCCCTAATGGACCTTCTTCTCGACCTTACATGAATAATGATATGGGAATGTCAGAACAAGAATTGGAAGAAATTATGAGTAGGAACAGAACTGTATCTAGTTCTGCTATCGCTCGAGCAGTTGCTGATGCTGCTG